GACACTTCCTGTTATCCGAGGCAGGAAACATTGCCTTATATGGTGTTTTTGGGGTGGTAATTATGTTAATCTCCTCTCGCGTGCACTTGCAGCTGGAATTTACGTAGCTCATTTACACACTTTTCCTGAAGACAGAAGATTTTGTTGAATCTGACAAGACATGTTCATACGAACCCTTCGTACAAACAAAAGTAAGAGAAATTTAGGATAAGAATACGAATGGTTCTTGCATGAGGCCCATTGTGCTACTGTACATGTAACAAACTCGTATCACTCCCACATGGAAGGAGCATTTTTTTCCCAATCAGTTTTCCCAAGTTACTATGCAGGCTAACAGCTGGATTCAAGCAAAATTTGTCTAGGAATTTTATCAGAGGTAAAAGCAGGGTGTTCACAGGACTTTAAAAAAATCTAAGTCTTAAATTCACATATCTAAAATTAAGACCTTTAAAAAGTCTTAAATTTGTTTAAAAAATGTGCAAGTTGATACAGTACTAAAAGGTCTTAAATTTTGTCGGGCAGAAGCGATTAAAGTTCTCCGCCTCCCCTGGCTGTCTCCGTAGTGCATTTCCTGATGGTAAGGATGAGAGAGGGGGAAAAAAAAACTTGTTTTGGATTAACTGTTGCTACTTTCACCCAATAAAAAACGTCAGTTTTATCCAACCAGCACGGCAGATCCTGCAGTCTGTGAGCAGAATCAGAACCGCAGGTGAAGTAATCAGTTGCTTTGCACTTTTTTCCAAGGAGTATACCTTGATCCGCTACCAGAACCAACCACCCCCCATGAAGGTGAAGTTATGTAATAGATTATCAAACGTCTAAGCATTAAACGTATGTGTTTGCGCGTGACCAGTTCACTGCAGCTGAGGAGATACTTGAACTATGATAACTGTCTACCAGAACTGAGCCCTGACCTTCCTGGGTTGCTTTATTGGAGAGGTCCATGGCAAGTTTTGGGTCAATCTCTCCTTTCAGTTTCATCAGCTTTCCAATCCAGTTGCTTGTCGAGAAGGTAAAGTCTGGAAATCTAAAGTCTATCTAAAGTCTTTGTATTTGACATTAATGTTTTCTGAGTGTCGTCGTTATTTTACAGACGTGCAACTTGCACACGTGTCAAGTCTTCGGGTCATAGAGAGAGAATGCGTCACTGCAAGAGTGCGCTCATCCTGTTTCTCACAGTGAGAGACGAGTTGTAGCTGCTGCTTTAATTTTTAAACAATATTAACACGTATTGTCGACTCCAGATTACAGCAAAGACATTTGTCTAAATTTAAATTCAATTTTCCCTCAAACTTACGAAGAAAAAGTTGATTCTACAAAATGTTTTAACAATGAGGTGCTTTGTATTTTTTAAAACTTTCTATCTTTATACTTTGCAAAGGATTTTTGTGCTATAATTTTTCAAATATGTCAGTCTCTACTCAAAACTGTCACATAAAAGTAAACTACAGAAAAGTTGTTAAATACCCATTTTCCTTCTGAAATTTGTTAGGTTTTGATGGTGCAGGTTTAAGTGTAAATTTATTGACAGTTGGCTGGAAGATGACTTTTTGTATGATGGCAAAACTGGAGGTTAAAACACAATTAAGCTCATGCTATGAATGTATTTAGTAGATGTATTTTTTTGTTGGATGTTTAACCAAATAACTGCACTTGGACAATACAGTTATTGAACCATAGAGGGTTGGGGGCTACGGTGCGCAATGGTGTGTCTTCTGAATAAATGAAAATGATTCAACACAGTTGTTTATACTTTTAGCAGCTCTTTTTATTCCACAGCTGACCTGCTAAAAATGACAGATTTTCTTTTCTGGATCTCTGAGAGACGGACTTCAATCTCTGAACTCCATCCATCCATCCATTTTCTGTACACGCTTATTCCTTATC